AATAGATTGATTTTGTTGCTCTGCATGAGCCTCTTGGGTTGTAATATTTTTGGGGCCTCCATACCCTTAACTTGTTTGTCTCTAACTGTTTGATCTATGTTATCTATTAGTTTATGATCTGATAATTTGTGGCTAAAAAGGGGGAGAAGATTAGTTGTATACTATATACATCTTGGTATATGTATATACAGCTTGGTATATGTCTCTAACAGGTAACAAGTGTATCTGGTTAGAAGTTGGAAGATTGGTTGTATACTTTGTCTTGGCTAGTTGTGCTGGTATATTTAGTAGGTGTGAAATTGACGGCTGCTGGGATGATCTGGTTGACAGGATGCTGATCCTGTTAAGATGTGTGTTTGTTCCTCTTGGGACTATTGTGTTCTACAGATCAGGTTGTTGATTGTTGTAGTAGCTTAGTTGATTTTATGCCTGTGTGTTTGGGATTGTGCTTTGTAGGTTGCTAAAAGCTGATGAGTTTGTGGGTTGTTATTTTATTGTTTGCATCTGTTGAGGGGGAGTTTTGTATTTACGGGGAGTTTTGTATTTACTCTCCTTGATATGTAGTTTTTCTGCTGTGTTGTACTCTTTGTCAGTGTTTTTTTTCCTTGTGATTTGTTTTAGCCAAAGGGGGAGTTTGTTAGTTCTTGATTGGCAGGAATTTTGGTAAAACTAGAAGTAATCACAAGATGTCCTACAGGATGTCGTGGCATCTGTCCGTTAAGAGCAACAGGTTATTTTGTGTTTTGTATCAGGTATTTTCTCTATGATGTCAAACAAGATGTCTTGACAATCATGGATTAAGCATTCAGTATGAATGGTTTTATGTACCTATATCTTTTTGTGCAAGTTGGCTGCATTTTTTCAAGACAGAATCTGCGAGTTTCTTGTGACTTATTGTAGGCATTTCTGTTCATTTATTGTGGATCATATTGGATTTGATTTGAAGATTTTTTCAGAAGATTGTTTGAAGATTGAGAGATTGATTTGATTGGATCTGATTGATCAAATCAAATCTAGATGATTGTTGTTATTGATGTAGATTGGAATCTTCTCAAATCCTGTTGTTATTGTTGCCAATGCCCAAGCCCATTCTACATTGCTATTTAAGGAGGTGAAACCCTAGCTTGAAGATTAGTGAAGCAAGGACTAAAAAGTGTGTGCATTTGTTTAAGGTTTAGGCTTCGTGTGTGTGTTAGTTTTGTGAGCCATTCTCTCATTGTTTAATGTGTGAATTAAACTAGGTTGTTAATTGTAAATTGTTCACTCAAAGCTTGTAAGCAAGAGTGTATTGTACTTGATTGAAGCTTTTAAGTAAGACCAAGTTGTGACTTTGAAGAGTGTCTTCTAAAGTCTTCTTTTTGTATTGATTGTCATCACTGTTGTGATTGAGGGGGAGTGAGAGGTGTCCCTTGTCTAGTGGGTTCTAGGAAGAAATTGCATGGGTAGAGATTAAGTGAGGAGTTGTAAACTGGGAGTTTAGCTCTGAATTAATTCTACTATTAGTGGATTTCCTCCCTGGCTTGGTAGCATCCAGATGTAGGTGTGTTTTCACTGAACTGGGTTAACAACTGTTGTGTCTCTTTTAATTATTATTTGTTTAGCTGTGTTCTTTGTTCTTGACAAACAGATATTTATGTTGTGAACATCTCCTTCGACATCTAATATCTGATACCAGAATTTCACAACGATTTCGTCATGTATAAACCTTCAAGTTTCATCCACACACCTACTGTAGTTTTCTCCTTTGAAACATGTCGAAGAACCTTATCACCAAGGCTCAATACAATAGCACTGGGAAATTTTTCAACCATCATTGTTTTCTCCTTCTCATATAGGGCAGTGCCCATCTTCTCTGATTCTTTTAACGCTTCTAACAAACCCCATTGAAAAGAAGGGCTTGTATATTCAAGCCCCACAAACCGAAATCATTCACACCGGTGAATTTCTCAATATCATACTTTATTGACGACATTTTCTCCTTCACGCTCACCGCACTGGTTTGTTGTGAAACGGTGTCATCAATAGCAAAACAAAGTTATGAGATAAAGATTGAATTTCTTGAACAAACACAAGAAATCCTATTAGGACGAAAGAGAGAGAATAAGAAAGAAAAAGAATAAGAATTGGTTAAAACTGTTTTACTATTTACTTTCTCAATAAGAGTTCAAAGATTACAAGTGAATAACAATAATTAACCTCTCTCAACAACCTGAGAGAATTAGTCTATTTATAGACTACTAAGCTAACTTAGGTTACAAGCTAACTTAACAATTGGGCTTACAAGCAAAGCCCAATTCAACATGCTAACTTAAACACAAAGCTAACATATTTCGACAACATGCTTGAACAGACTCAACTACAACATGCAAAACTCTTGTCAAACCTTGAAGTTGTCCTTGTTGACACTAGAGTTTGATCCAAATACCACACAATTCATAGTAGTTATGTCTACAACTGAGACATAATACATGACAGTAATTAAAGATACATAGGAAGCATTGTGGCTTACAGGATTAGTGAAAGAGTTAAGTGTTAAGCAAGATGGTGTTCATTTGCATTGTGATATTCAGAGTCCTATCTATTTGGCAAACAATCAGATGTATCATGCTATGACCAAACATACTTATGAGGTTTTACAAGTGACAAGTTCAATTTGGACTTGTTACATGTTTCTAAGTGTTAAACATGAACTACACACCCCTATTTTTTAGGATATGACATTATGCATTTAATATTCGTATGTGTTTGATATTTGCCAAAGTAGAGATTGTTGAGTTTGGCTCAAGGGTAAAGTTGATATTCGTATATATATATATAACAATGAAACTCTAGTGTGTAAAATTCAAAACAAATCAATAAGACAATGTCAGTTCATCACCATAATCAAATCAATAAGACAATGTCAGTTCATCACCATAATCCGTTTGCATTATTTTAAAAGTGATTAAAATAAAAATCAAACTTTTTTCAATATCTAACGACTATGATTAACTGACGGTATATAGCACTGTAACTCTAGTGTGTAAAATTCAAAATAAATCAATAAGACAGAATTAATTGTTTTATAGTCGCAAACATAAACAATTTAGTCGAACTTAATGAACAAAATTTTTGTATATTTCTTTTTACTTTAATATATATTCGAGTAACTAGTCCAACAATATTATCCAATTAATCGTCGAATGGAGTTAAACAAGAAAACAAACATTTAAAAGTGTAATAGAACCCGAGTGGAGTTAAACAAGAAAACAAACTTTAAAACGGTAATAGAACCCGTATATAAGGAAGGAGTGAATGTAATGAATTAAAAATGTGAACATTCTAAACTAGCTTTGACGACTAAACAACACTTGATTGATTTAAAGTAATTAATAAAAGAATATTCATTTTTACAATTCATTATTTATAGTTTTGATTTTTTTTTATTGTATGAATAAACATCTTTTCATACATTCAAATACTCAACAACTCTTGAGTTATTGTGGGATTTTCTTTTTTTAAAAAAAATCTTTGTGAAAAACATACAACATACTCACTTAAAACTTTAAGATAATAGGTGTATGAGTTTTTCCACTAATAAATGTTTAAGTCTCTACATTTCTAATCAATGTGAGACTATTATACACACTACTCATAAAGCCTAAATATGACCTGTAGCCTATTATAAACTTATTTCTATGCCTGATCCTAACATTTTCGAATGTCTAATTTGCCTACTAGTATATTTAAAAGTCTACTTCATTTAAACTTTTGTATATAAAAAATTCAGCTAATGTTAAATAGACTAATAAAATATAAGATCAATGAGATTAAATGTTTGTTTTGTTGTCTTATTCAATTTTATCTATTAGCATAAGTGTGATACTATTTGTTAGATAGAACTGATGGATTAATTATTAATCAAATAATTATGACTCGTGTAATTAAAAGTTTGCTTTAAGTAATGGATACCCTAATGTGATGATTATTTGGGTGGTTGGATAATTAAGCCAATGAAATTTTATTTTGAAATTTGAAATTTGAAATTTAAATCTCTCTTCTCTCTCTTCATGGATGTTGGGATGTGTCTCTTGAAATGAAATGTGACTCTTAGAGAAAGAAATCTATAAATAGAGATCTTTGAAAAAACAACAGAAACTTTTCTCATTCCTTCTCATTTTTTCACAAATACACAAGTATTTTCATCATCAAAGGATACACAAAAGGAAGAAGGAAGAGAGGAGAGAATAATTAAAAACAAGACTGATAATAGGACAAGAATCGCCGTCATAGATCCGGACTTTTTAAAATAGGACAAGTTTACTCTTTAGCTAAATATGCTTATAAAAAAGTTTAGACCTTTTTTATTTAAGAAAAAGTCTGACCTATCCTAGATCTATGTAGGCTAAGGTCTCTGTTAGTTGGTCTGACGTATTCTCACCCTTATTTGTGGGGAAATCCTGTTATAGAACGTGGGGACTCATAGCACAAAGAGGTGTATTGGAAAAACCAAGTCCCGGACCACTCACCATTTATATTCACGCACCAAGCCCAATAATGATGGGCGTGAGAGATATATTGGAAAAAACTCAAATCCCACGTTAGCTAAAGATATAATCCAAAAAAAAAATCCTCACTTATATTTTATTAGTGCTCTCATCTCTCTCGAACTCCCCCAACACATATCGAGTTTGCATTTAGAACTTCTACGTTACTTGAAGCAAAAAGTGATTATAATGCTTATTACCACCATTCAAAACAATAATTTAAAACATGTCTTTTGCAGTTTCAAGGGAGAGGATATAGAAACTTGATAGCTCACACTCAACCCTTCAATTTATTTTACTTTTCTGCATCTTCACTTTCATCATTTATTCATTTCTATTTCTACATCTAGTGAAAGTGCTCCTATTTTACACATGCAGCTTTCTCTATTCAACATAACATTTTGGACCGATCCCGAAACACGGGAGGGAATGTTCCTTGCAATGCTTCTTCCGGGGCTCTATGGAAACCATTGTTCATATGACAGTTCCGTCTTCTATCGTTGCTTTCTCCATTATGATGGTGATTCCTGATCGGATGTAGAAACCATCTTCCGATCTATCTGCTTCTTGAACGCCCTACAGATAAAGCATTCGAGTTTATAAGCGTGAACAAATGTATTGTGGAACGAAAAACTACTAACTCGTATTTATGCTTTACTTCTTTGTTCGCGATGACAACGTCTTTTCCAATCTTTGCATTCTTGTCAATAATGCAGTTCCTTTAACAAAGATAATATATAACAAACTATGAGTTCACAATAGTAAAAAGAAAGATTTGCTACGCGAAAATGCTAGTGTTTTACTTGATTTTGGTATTCCTTCCGATGCCAATCGGGACCTTCCCTTCTGCAAGTAGAGAAGCGATTTCGGATTCAGTTTGGTAATAGTCAGCTCCCATCATTACAGTGTCCTGTAAAAGTTGATCTTGTTTTTCGTTAAGAGGAACCATTTAATGGAGTAATGAGTCTAGAATATATGGTAGTTTAATTACCTGAAGCTCAACGCCATAATCTAAACGGGACCTTTCACCGACAATGGAATGTTGGATTGTACAATCTCTCAGGAAACATCCATGGGAGATAATGGCATCCACAACCTACCAAAACCAAAGCAACGCGGACAGAATAAGAAAGACATAAAGTTACGACTTATTAGCATGCTACAAGATCGTACCCGAGAGTTGTCAAACTTTGTTGGTGGTAGGAATCCTGGAGATGTGAAAATCGGTGTCTTTGGATCATAAAACTCGAACTTTGGACTCTGCACGAGAGTAACATATAGCAGATTTTAGTCTCAATCAACTAAACTGAACAAGAACATAGACAAATTCTTGAACCTACCTCTTCAGTAAGAGCGAGGTTAGCATCGTAGAAGGATTTTATCGTTCCAATATCTTCCCAGTAGTCTCCGAAAAAATATGCCTGCAAAAAAGCATAGATGACAGGTGAAAATCCTTCTGAAATCGATAAAAACATTTGTAAGCAGATATATTAATCGGAAATCCTCTTACTTGGACATTGTGTTCCTTTATAGCTGAAGGAATGATTTCGGATCCGAAGTCATTAGAAGTAGGATACCTCCATTTCAGAAGCTTGAGTAAAACATCTTTCTTGAATACATAAACTCCCATAGATGCAATATATGGCGACTTCAATGCGTCTTGAGGTGACAACCCAAGATGAGAAGTATCTACGTGCTGAAAATGAGAATGAACAATCTCAGTGGAATTACCGGATAACAAGAAAACAGAAAGAAGGTGCAAACATTATGTTATTGTGTTGGGATTTACTTACCATTGCTTTCAGATCAGCGCCTTTCGGTTTTTCTGAAAATTGTATGATGTTACCTCTGTCGTCTACCTTGACCAATCCATAATCAGACGCGCGGCTGAAAATCAGGCAATGAAATCGTAATTTTGTTTTCACTTAAATGATTCTTTCTATTCACTCATTCTAGAATGAAAATAAGTATAATACTCACTTGTCACCGACAGCAGCACACGAAATTGTAATATCGGCATTTCTATCTACGTGACTCTGTTAATTTGTTATATAGATGAATCAGAAAACTTTAGAACATGAAATGAAAAACAATCACAGTATACCTGCAATAGGTCCATGTAATCCATTCGATATAAATGATCTCCCGCCAAGATCAATACATTCTCGACGTTTATATTCTTGGCATCCTACCACAAAAAATCTATTACTTTTTGACAAGCTCAAAAATGAGAACAAAAGAATCTATTACTCACCAAAATGTATATACAACAACAACAACAAAAATCATTTGTCTACCTCAAATATCCACGTAAATTGTCTCACAGCATCTGCAGTTCCTTGAAACCACTTCTTCCCAGCTTCTCCTGGTGTTTGTGTCGCCGCCAGAACCTATTTAACATTTAGATTGATTTTAATTAGAAACAAACTTGAAATTCTTCAAAAAGAATCTCTTTCACTGGTTCGGTATTTCTCTATGCGAACCGAATTACATATATTTTATTTCGCAACTGTATGTTCATCTCAAAACTCATTCCATGAAAAAAAAAACCTCAGGAGAGAGTGATCCTAGTAATATGGAGTTCGACCAATTATTAATAAAACATGTGAAAAAAAAAACTAATTTCAAACCATTTTCATGACGGTGATGCATGATTACCTCCACAAATCCATCACCAAAGTTGACACCATTTCCGAAATAGGTGCGAGCGATGTGACGGTTGAGGGAAGCAGAGTTGAACTGAGTCAGCACAAATATCTTGTTGATGCCACTATTGATGCAGTTGCTCATTGGAATGTCTATAAGCCTATAGCATCCTCCAACAGGAACCTTCAAAACAAATCATCATCACAAACAGCGCAATGTTACAAAGAACACCAAAATGTTAGAATTCAGACAACAATTCATATCATGAAACTCACTCACCGCAGGTGTTGCAGCTCGTTTGGTAAGAGGATAGAGATGTGTTCCAGGCCCTCCTCCCAATACAATGGAAATCACATTGTTTGGATCAGCTCTTCGTCTCAGAAATGAAGGCACTTGCAAATTCTGAAATTCAAAAACACACTCATAATCATAATCATATAATGAGAAAGAAAAAAGTCCTTTTTTTTCAGAATTGAAAGCAAAAAGTGAAACCCAGAATGAAATTGACATTACCAGGGAACCTTTGGGGTCATCTGAAGTAAGAATAGCAGAAAAAGCAGCAGGTTTGTTCTTCTTCTGGGTAGTGACCCATGAACTGTTTTTCAAGCTGCCTTTGATTCTTTCTCCAAAAAAAGAACCTTTTTTACAATTTGGAAAATGGGTGTTGGTTTTCAAGCTCACACAACCAGAAGCCATTGTAGTAACCTCAAAAAACTAAGCTTTTTTTTCAGTTTGTTCAAACAATGCTGGTACTGAAAGGTCACAACTAAAATGCGGAATCCAGAGAAAAAACGAGAAGAATGTGAATCTAAAACTAATTATTGAGTAGTGATGAAGGGAAAGGTGTTGCCTTTATTGAGAGAAATCAGAAACCTCAATTTCTAAAAAATAAAAATATTATTATATTTTTTGATATTTGTTTGCCTTTGGAACCATAGTTGATGAAATGATTCATCACAAAAGTCCAAGGTTGCAATGGGATTCCCATTACACAACAAAGACATGTCATTTTCATTTGATGTGAACTTTTGCGGTTGATATTTGCTTCAATGTGTTGTAAAAATGTAACAAAGTGTTAGAACTTTCAGTCAATATAAGAGTGTTTGTTGAGAAAAAAGGTATTGGTAGTTTTATCTTATGTAACAAAAAATTACTGGTTGGTTCATGTGATGCAATTTAAGGATGCTTACATCTGACATTTGATGGCGGGGTTTGGATGTATGTGGAAGTCATTTGTCATGTTGCAAAGTTTGTAAACAATATTAATCATTATAGGATAGGTTGATTGAGTTTCATTAATCATGGTTACATCATATTAAAATTTACATTTTACTATAATTTGTTAATAAACAATCAATGTAAATATGACATATTTAAAGATAAATAAAAGTTTGGAGATTTCTCGTAGTCGGAATTTTGGACAATCATTTATCATGTATTTTGGATGTGAGGAATACGAAAAATATAATGAGAATTTTTTTAGCTCTAGAATTATGTACATAGACTTCGTCAAAGTCAATACCAGATTTTTGTAAAACTCCTTTCGTCATCCGTCTTGCTTTATGCTTTGCAATTTCACCATTTAACCTTAATTTCAACTTTTAGACTCATTCACATCAATTGACTATTTGATTGAATTTTCTACAAGCTTCTAGTTCTTGTTCTTCTCGATTACCTTGAGTTCTTCTTGTATGGTTGCCAACCAATTTGAATCTTTCATAACTTGATCCAAATCAATTAGTTCCGATTCAGCCATCATCACCACTTCTTCGATGAAGTCACCATCTTCATCGATTGCTTGATTTAGAAATCTCTCATATTCAACTAGTCAGTTGACTTAGTTCTTGTTCTAGTCAATCTTCTAACATTTTGCTCAGGTGGTTATTCATTTCGATTGGTTGTGACTGCAATATGTTGATCTTCTTCAAGCACAATTTTGACTAACTGACCCCTGATTCCAATTCCACCCTTTGCTTTCGCCCACCAGCACATCTCTACCAATCACTAGTTTATCATCATTTGGTGAATACAACTTATATGCACTCGTCGAATGATAACCTATGAGCATTATAACTTATCTCCGATCAATTAGTTCCTTCCTCAACTGTTCAGGTACATGTCTGAAATACATTGATCCAAATACTCTAAGATGAATAACAACTGGCTTCAATCTTGTCCAAGCTTTATAAGATGTCTTCTCGACTATCTTCTTGGTTAGACATCTGTTTAGAATATATATATATATTGTTGAAGCTGCTTCACCCCAAAATCTCTTTGGAATTTCTTTACCTTTAAACATACTCCTGGTCATGCTCAGTATACTTCTATTTCTCCCCTCAACTATACCATTGTGTTAAGGTGTATATGGTGCAATGACCTCATAGTCTATACATACCTCATTACAAAATCTTACAAATTGTCTAGAGGTGTATTCACCTCCACCATCCATTCTCAATTTCTTTAACTTACATCCACTTTGTTTCTCGACATGCAACTTAAACCTTTTGTATTGTGTGAATACCCCACTCTTCCTTTCAATAAGGTAAATCCACATATATCTAATGAATTCATCTATGAAAGTTAGGAAATAACAATTACCTCAATTCGGCCTTACTTTAAAAGTTCCACACACGTCAGAGTGAACAAACTCCAGCTTTTCTCTCGACTCTATGGACAAGTCATGTTTGAATTCTTTTCCAAGCTTGTTTTGCTTTACAACATTCCTCAAACACTTGACTTGATTCCTTTGCTTGAAGTAAGCCATACACCATCTTTTTCTGGTTGAGTATACCTAGTCCTCTAAAGTTTATGTGTTCATACCTATGAAGCCATATACAGTTCTTGCCTTTAACAACAATCGAAGCAAGACATTGATGATCAACCATGTTGATTTCTACTTTGGAGTTTTTTGGTGTCTGCCAATGGTGATTTTATAATCATCATTCTTTCACCATTATACACCTTCATCAAATTTTCTTCCAACTTCATGTTATACCCTTTGGCAAGTAATTGACCTATGCTTATCGAATTACTTGTCATCGAAGGTACATATAATACACATCTATGTTTCATTTTCAACTTGATGTGACATGCCCCCTATCTACAAACCTGATCACTTTCTTAACTGATTCATCTAACCCTGTGAACCATATCTTATTGTCAGTCATGTAATTACTGCATCCTGAATCCAGGTACCACATATTAATTTACTCATCATCTGATTGAGTATTTGCCATGAGTAACATATCATCAGAGTCACTTTTTACAGCATGTGCATATTGCACTTCATCATTATCTTTTGCTCTTGATTCCTTCTTTCTTCGGCAATCTCGAGCATAATACAAATCCTTAACAGTTGTAACATTGCACCTCCTTCATGTCAATTTTTTTCCCCACATACTCGTTGCCCATGATTTTCTTGGTTGAATTAGAGCGATTCTTTAAATTCTTGTTTTACTTCTCATCATTTGCAAGATTCTTTCTCCGCTTTGCCTTTTATTTTTCAGATTTCTTGATGAATCTTACTTGCAACGACTGCTCAGCCACATTCTCTTTTTCTGAGTTTCTCTGCTTCAACCTCATCTCACGAGTCTCTAATGAAGTTTAAAGTTCTTCTAACTTCATCTCAGCTAGGTTCTTGGACTCTTCAATAGACACTACAATGTAATCAAATTTTATAGTCAGAGATCTTAACATTTTTCTCATTCTTTTGTAAATCATTGATTGATTCACCACACGATGCATCTGGTTTGTGAGTAACACTAATCATGAGAAGAAATCAGCAAGTGATTCATCTTCTTTCATTTGTGTTATCTCAAACTTCTTTCTTAGCGTCTACAACTTCACCCTCTTCAGTTTTTCACCTTCGTCGTACAAGTTATTCAACTTGTCCCACACTCCTTTGGACGTTTCTTCTTCAATATTCTTCTCGAACACGTTAGGATTCACACATTGATGAATCAAGTAAAGAGCTTTTCCACCCCTCTTCATTCGTTCCTTGTGCGCAACACTCTGAACATCATTTGCATTTGCTTCCAATGCAGGTACTCAATCACTCACGATTTCAGTCACATCTTGAAATCTGAAGATGACCTTCATTTGCATAATCCACCTCTCGTAGTTCTCACTTTTGAAAATAGATAGATTCACTGGAAATTACGTTGATGTTGTGTTATCGTTTGCCGTTACAAATTCTCTCTGAATTGCAATCGGGCTGATTTATACCGATTTGTTGAAACAATTAGGGTTTTCAAGAATAATGAAGAAGAAGAAGAAGAAGAAGAAGAGAGTAAGATAGAGAAACTATATTATAAAACAAATTGAAGTGAGGTGTCTGTTATACATTGATTTACAACTTCACATGTTTATAGAGACAACAAAACATACTACCTCTATTCCTTTAAATAAGAGACAACTCATTATTTTTATTAATTGAACAATCAATTTATCTAATCTATAAACCAACCTAATACATTAATTATTCAATAAATCTAAAACATAAATTGTTTGTTATATAAAAGAACGGAAGTAGTCCAATTTACAACCTATAATATTTAACTTAGTCTTTTACAACCATGTAGAATACATCTTGTCCACTAAACAATAAATTATTAATTGATAATAATAAACACCACTGCACTTTTAAAGTTAAGGTGAAAAATTATAAAAGTGTCTTAATTCTCCTTTTATAAAATTTAACTTATACTTAAGTTCGAATACAATATTAGAAGGTCTTAAAATGTCATACTCAAAAATTTTCACCGACTTGATCATCAAAATATTTTAAATTCCATAAGTTTTTTTAACCATTTCTGATGCCACATATCTTAGGTCCAGTATACACCTCAAAATATGAGGCCATGTGTTTGAAATGTCCTCAGAAACGCCACTAATTTCCATCAGTCGAGGCTCCTCCGAATGAGGCAAGACACACAGATTCATGGACGGTTCTCGTGACTCGAAGTTGGTCCATATTCAATTGTTACTGCTCACTGTCCCACTACAAGTATCTGCCTCTATTTCTGTTCATGATTCTTGTGGTCCACCACACCTTTACATTCACTACAACACTTGTATATTTAATTACTTTAACATTAATATATATAGAATATAGTATCATTTGGCAAATCGAAAAGATCATTTCGTGCATTTATATAATATATCATAACCCACCTATAAACGAATACTTTAAAGTATTCAACTAATAAATATGATTCATCTGATGAGAAAGTGTTTAATTAATTTTTGGTTGGGGCAATAGAAAACAATCAACTAGTTACTACAATATTACACGCATTACTAATATATATTAATATTTGAGTATGTATTGTCGTGAAAATTGATGGACAACGGCTGACCTTTTAAATTGAAAAAAATTTATTTTATTTGTAGAATCGACTACAAAAATCTTAAGATATGTGTTAATTGATCTTAAACAAAGTTTAAAAAAATAATGAACACTTTGACCGAGTTCATGATAAAATAACTTGTTTCAAATGTAAATGAAATTGAACACGAAGGATTAAAGTCGAAAGACTGGTAAAAAATGTAGAAATTAACTTGCATAAAGGAAGGATAAATTCTTAATGAAAAAGACTTATTGAATTGCATTGAAATGTAAAAATGGTGTTACATCAACGTACATTCTCACAAACTCGTTTCTCTACACACAGGTACTTGGAGTATATTGAGGAATT